TAGAGTTAGAGAGTGGAGGATTTATTAAGGTTTATTGTACTTTGGAGCTCTAAAAATACTTCACATTTTACTAATTGCAAGTAAATAATGAAATGAGTTTTTCATTTATTTTTCTGATTTTATATCAATGAAAGTAAGGTAGCTCCCATCTGACGATTGATAAATATCTATAATGGGAGAATTGGCCTTGAAGTATGTATAAGTAAGTAAGTAAGCCTTTCATTTCCCAATAGTACAATTTTATAGATTAGATTAAATTTCGTCAATTTCGAATTAATATTAAATTAAAAATGTGTGTTCTAGTTAATTACATTATTTTTAATATATTGATTCAAAATCATTCAACATTGTTAAAGAAATTATTTAATATAGTGGTTAGGACTAGAACATTCAATCCAAAACGAATAAATATTCAAAATTACATTTTAATTTTGTTTATGGGCTTGTCTATTTCTGGACAAAGGCCTCCTCCATCCTATGCAATTTGTTTCTATCGGCCGCCAGTTGGGTCCAGGTGCTCCCGGCTATGGCAACGATGTTGTCGCACAACCTGCGACGCGGTCGTCACCGTGCACGGTGTCCATCTCGTGGCTTCCAGTAAAGGATTCTTTCACTCCATCTGTCATCTGAGGTTCTTGCTGTATGGCCTGCCCAGCGCCAATTTATTCGGCAAGCCATTTTGGCGGCATTCTGTATTTTAGTATTGTGTCTTATGTCCACATTTTTTACTCTATCGGATAATCGTATCCATGCTTCTTCCAAGGCTCTTTGAGAAAATTTGCTATTTATAAATTATTTGTTAGAGAAAAGTGGGCAGCACCACAGAGTCAACAGCGGCCTTTTTAAGTTTCATATTCATCTGGGATTTGAAGATATGTTTGTGAGACCAATAAGCAATTACAATGAAGTATTTATACCACTATTTATATGTTTTGGTAAGTTGATTAACACAATTTAAATGATATAATCATGTACTATCCAGCATATATACAATCAAATTTGTACGGAACACTGACCCAAAAAACTCTATTCGTATTTCTTTGATTTTTCGTTTATTAAATCTTGAAGCTCTCTTTATAATCTTACGACAACGTCATGTTGTAATATAATAAACTGAAACTACTGAATAAAATGTACGATCGACTGCCTCGGTGGTGCAGTGGTAGCGTATGCGACTGCTGTGCTGAGGTCTCGGGTTCGATTCCCTAGTCGGACTAAATATTTGTATAATCTGTAAATATTTGTTTCGGAGTTTGGGTGTTTTCTATGTATAATATGTATGTATTTACAAAAAAAAGTTTAAAGGTATTCTATCAGTCAATCTAGTTTTCATAGTACAAGTTCTGCTTAGTTTGAAACTAGATGGCGTTGTGTGTCAGATGTCTACTTTGTACTTGTCAGAAAGGTACTTTTATAATGTATAGTGTCTTTCTAGTGTCTCGATAGAGATATCAAAAATACTTAACTTCTGCTGTGACATGCTGTGATATGATGATGAATTTCATACATGCAGGAATTACTTAAGTCTTGCGAAATAAATAATATGTATAGCAAAAGAAATAATTGCCATTTCAGAATTCCAGTAAAATTATAAAACAAAATATGATGTATGTACCATGAACTTTTGTTTTCGAGTTAATGTCCCTCTTCAATAGCCAAGCTTCTTTGAGTCTCAGGATTTTTCCAAGACTATATTTCTTATCCTACCTCACTCGATCTTTTTGTTATCCTAACCAAAACCTCCCTCCTTCCTTTATCCCGATAGCTGTAAAAAACCCGTTAGATAACGAAATTTTTGGTTAACTACCCATAAAACGCAGTTGCAATTGTACAGTACAGTTCTACTTGAACAAGAGTACCCAGAATATAGTGGCAAACTTTCGCTTTTAACCTAGACATTGCAATACCTACTTAATTTAACCCAAAAATAGTCGTGAAAATATAGAGTGTGCCCCATCATCTACTATATCGTACAAGAAGAAAATATGTAGCCTAGATTAAAGCTTAGAGAACATCTATACAAAACTGCATATCTTTCAACTTTTGATCTTGGCATGCTTCCAGTATTGTCCAGCATCAAGTGTGAAGCTATCTCGGCTAAGATAACCAACCACTTTAATATTGCATTATAGTACATTCTTAAACAAGTATATACAACAAGAATCAGGCGTTCGTACGATAATGTTGCAGGCAACTTTCTGTATGTGTTATGTTTAAATAATAATTATATTTTTTATTTATTTTTAGATTATCATCCATATCTCGTTAGAATTAATTCTTAATAGTTACGTTAGTATAAAAAAAAATACATTGATGTTAAATCTATTATGTCAATAATCATTTCTAATTGAAATGTTCATTATTACATGTCAGTTTTTTTATTAAATGTCTGTCAATTTTATTATACATATTCTGTGTCAAAATTCTTAGTATACTATTATTACAACACTAGAGTCTTGTTCGCATTGATATAATTCTCTTCCTCATTACAGCATGGAAACCATGTATCCTAGCGTCTGCAAACATACCAGACGCACTACTATTGTAGCTTCATGACTGACCGAAATGCATTATTGTATTGAACACTGACGGTGTTGATTGCTCGCCTTTGCCTTCGCCTCGACACTTTGTGGTGTTTAGGTCTTCTTGTTAATAAAATATCTTGTTGGATTTACTTGTGTTATTATTATATTACTTTAGCAAATTACAGATACAGTATTCACAGTATCACGGATAGAAAGAAGATGAAATAGAAAGTAGTGCAGCCATAGTACAATATATGTATATTAGTACATATTAATCTACTAAATGGGGGTGCGCATTTTTAATAATTATAATCTATACCTTACACATCTCACACACGGCCGTCTGATCCCAAACTAGGCAGAACCTGTGCTATGATAACCAGACTGCTGATAAACATACTTATATATTTCCAAATACATACATATTATAGATATATAGGTGTACCCAGACACGGAACAAATGGCCATGCTCATCACACAATATTTGTCCTGGGTGGGAATTGAACCCACGATTTTCGGCTTAGAAGTCAGGGTCACTAACCACTAGACCTACAGGCCCGTCGAAAATTTTCACATAACCTTTTAAGTCCTACTATCGGATGTCTGCAAATATTCTCTTATCATTTTATTTTACATCATAATAATCATTCTTCATAAAAATATTTAATGAGTTTTATAAGTTTCGATCTATCAGAATTCATAATATCTTAGTAATCATACACCTGGTTTATACTAATATTGGTTCATATATTTCTTAATCATAAGTATTATATATCCGTTACGTAATAATACAGAGACAGAGGGATTAAAAAGTTATTTCATTACAAAGACGCAGGAACTTTTCGATTGTACGAGTATAAAATGATGTATTTAAGGAAGTTCTCCGTTAGGTACGATGTCGAACGAAGCGAGGAGGGGCGCTAGGAGGGGTCCGGATGTCTTAATAACAGCAGTTAAAGGATACCTCCCATTACAGGCGCAGAGTAACACACCGTGTGGTTTTAGTCGGTCCGATTCCGACACACTACCCCGCCGCAAACCCCGGTGGGGTGCCGCTCCGAGTGGGTTTGCACCCTACAGCGCCGGAACCGAACATATTTAACTAGTACTTACATGTAGTAGACGACGAGCGAAGAATCACCCATATATTGCTCTCTATTCGTCTTTTCAATTAACTAACATTTGGACTCCTCTTATTATTAATCTGAGAGGAAAAGTTTGCACGATTGCAATTTAACAGAAATAAACTGACACGTACAAAGCTAAAGTTCGAGAATTCTACAGGAAACAGCTAGCAGAAATATCCTCATGATTTCGTCACCTCAGACATTATTGTATTTATTTTATTCCGTATATATATAACATATTAATAGTTATTTATGCAAGATTATATTTTCATAGTTTCTCTTTTTTTTACATAATACATGTGCACCTACCATGTCCCTTACTGAACCATCTTAAGGTTGACTGGTAGATTATGCCATGAGGCAGAAGTCAACGTGCTAGAGAAAAAAGGGAACCAAAATATATGAAGCCACATAATATCTAAAAATTTAATAGATTTCATTAAGATTTCTTTTTCTATCTTATTTTTTTGATCGAATTTTCTGCAAAGGGATTCCTTCTAAGTAGGTTTTTCGTCTCTTTTTACTTCAACCACATACATTTTGTAATAGTCCTGGGGGACTAGTATATTATTGAACTTGTGCTCTAAAGATATATAGTTAGATATACCGTATACCTATCAAAACCGAATTCTCCTCCTCCGTGTTATTGTCTTGTATTATGTTAAAATAACTACCATATTGAACATTTTAGTCAATAATAAGCTAACACATCTTACAGACGGCTCTCTAATCCATAACTAAGTAGAGCCTGTGCTATGGAAACTAGGCTGGTGATGAACACATTTTTAATATATATTTCTAAACTACAGATCCAGACTTATACACATAATAATTGTGACAGTGAGTTCACGTTGTTTCACGCCTAAACCACTAAACAGTTTCAACAATTCTTTAACCAACAAAATGTACATTATCAGCGATTTAGAAATACTACTTTTTCCGCGATAACCGAAAAAAGATAATTTGTAATAAAGATGAAATCTAAAATCTTCATCAATACCTCTATACGTATCTAAATCTTTCAAAATCATTGAATTACGTATAAAATACCCCAACGACTTAATCCAACGAAAGAATATTTTGCCAACCTTTGTATCCTCCTTTGATATAATAACATATTTACCATCCAAGGGAAACCAAGAAATATATTTAAAAATGAAAAGATTCCAACAACTTTATTCAATCACACTCCTTACTTCAATGAAATCAATTCAAAGCGATCTGTGAATAGCGAGTCTTAGACTATAGTCAGATGGCGACCGATAGCTGCGCGTGAAGATTTTGTAACGAGCTTACTAGAAATGCTTTTCTCAGTCATTGAACTTGCTATGATTAAGTTTTAATGACTATGCTTGAATACCATATTCATGAATTAGGTAAGTGTTATCTGTGCATGTATCAATTCGGGTTTATTTTTAGTATTTTATTGTTCACCTGAAAAGTCAAAATTAGAACCGAATTTTCGCTCTATGATAAGTAGTAATTGTTTTATTATTTAAATAACCTAATTTTTTGCGCCCAATGATTTTTCGAATCGCGTGAGGGTTTGTCAGAATATAAAAGCTCGTTGGCATTAAAAACATGGGTGTTCAACTGACTCTTGGAAGCATTTCCCACTCTCAACGCTTGTCATGAAACGGCTTTATACTAAACGTTGTCAAATAAAGTATATGCTGCATAAAATATTCTTCGGAGTGCTTGGGCAATTTAGTTAATTTATTACTTCTTTGTAATCAAAAGAGATATTGTCTTTGGATTCTAAGTGAATATATTAAGGTCCGTTTTTAAATATTATTGACCCTTTTCTTCTTTGATATCCTCTTTTGAATAATGTATGTTATTAAAATATCTATAACTTTTAGGATCTTCTAAAAATCTATGTTTTGGTTGCTCATTTACATTGATTTTGGATTTTTTTGTCAAATTAATCATGGTTTGGATGTGCTGCTGGATTAGTCTTAGCCGAATTTCACATACATGGCCTTTCTAGAGTAATAAATAAATTAATGATTAGCCTTTATTCTTTTACACTTACGGTGGTGATCACAATCTGTCAATTGAAAAAAAAGGTGCAATAATTTTGTTTACAAGTTGGTCATAAATTGTTGTTTTAAAAAACAAAGCTCTGAGAAGTAAACTTAAGTAACGAGCGTGAAATAACCAAATTGACGTCGAAAAAAGGTACCGATAAACTTTCGGCAAAAAAACATTCTTAGGAAAACAAGACTTTTATTAGTTTTCGAACAAAACATTAACAAAGTAAGTTTTTACGAGATAGACACGAAGTCGTTAATTTATTAGTTTTAGTTTATCGACTAGATTTGTATAAAAGCAATTCCATATAAAAAGCAACCATCCAGGTCATGGCAAGTTCATGGTAAGGGGATAAGAGCGTGATGGTAAATGACAACTACCACCTATGGATATATCATAAAAAGGGTGTCGGGGGACACCCGATAAGAACGAACGAACGAACGAAAAAGAAGTTCCTTATGCTATTTGACAAATATTTCATTTATAAATTTTGGTCAAGGTATTAAAAAAAACAACTTGCGTATAACTTTTTATATATTAACAAAAAAAATTGGTTTGCTAATAAACTGCAGATTGTTATTTTAAAGAAAAGCGTCTTTTTTTATTAAATATTGAATAACTTGAAAACTATTGATTGCAAGACTGGTCTCATTTTATTCCTTTTCAAATTCTCCAAAAATCATAAGCATCATGTGTCGATGCCTGATGCATTGTTCTCGAGTTATTAAAAAAATGTCAGTAGTCAGCTCAGTAAATGTGGCAGAATTATGAAATTTGATAGTCTTTGCCTGAAAGTGTTTTTACAAAGTCTTTTACAAGGTGGTAATCAGGCCCGACCCGCCTAACACTATCATTCTTCAAACTTGAGGTTGCGCTAAAGTGTAATACTGAAGATTTTAATTTTTTTTTCGTAATACAAATATTATATGTCACATTTGTATTCCTTTATCTTTATCTTATAAGAATATAAAAAATGTACAAACTATCATTCTAATCATGCTCTACTACTAATACAGTGGCATTTATGTACCAAAAAGTTATCATTTGACCTAAAAATACGCTTTAATTTGCTTAAGCCCTTCAATTCACGCACACATATAAATTTTAAGTTAAAGCAAAACCAACCACCACCAACCTATAAAGAATATTTTGCTTTTCATGTTCGAAGCAAAAAATTAAATCCCTAACCCATCTGTAGGTAAGCTGTTTATTTTTGACAGTTTCTTTACGCATTATACGAGTATAAACTTAGGATTTCTAGTAGAAAACAAAACTGAACCAAATTATGAGACTTTTTTGATTTTCATCAAACATGATGTATAAAACTAAAACGTAGTTATAATCTACTTTTTTTCTTTTTTTAAGGTAAATGGGAGCTCGGTTGGATACTCTGTGACATCTGGATCAGTCTGGACATCCTCCTTTGCACTGCTTCAATCCTGTCTCTTTGTGCTATCAGCGTGGATCGCTATTTAGCTGTAACCAGACCTCTCACGTACTCCAGAAGAAGAAGGTCTAAGAAACTAGCCTTGTCTATGATATTATTCGTCTGGATCGCAGCTGGGACCATCACTTGCCCTCCTATGTTTGGCTGGTAAGTTAATTAAAATTCTAGGTGGTTTTTTATTAGAAAAACCGAACAATGACTTCTAGCCTGAAAAGACAATCCCCATTATAGGCCGGAAAAATCCATAATACCTGATTTTATTTAAAGAATCTCTACTTTTTACGGAAACCAAATACGTTAATTGTAAGAGGCATAAGCCTATTTCTTTTTATATATTAATGACATCGAGTTTCAAAAAATATGAGTAAAATTTTAATAAAAATAATTAGTTAGAGTTAAGGTTTGTATTTTAAAGATTATATTCCTTTCATGGCTATGAAAAGAATCGCGCGTTATCTTAAGGTCTCTTTTTATTTTCTAGATTACAGCATCAAAGCGTCTGCTAGATTATTATTATAACAAGCATTACAGACTGAATGGCAGTCTTAAGTTGAATATTATATTCCTCAAGGTACTTAGCCACGTTTTTATTCAAGACCTTCTTTTATTCGGATAGTAAATAGAACATAAAATTTCTTTTAGCCCTTGTGAAATCTACAAATGAAAAGCTGATTATACTTAATCGCATATCTATAAGTGGCAATAACAATAATATGGTGATAGGGTTATGACGAAAACTATAATAGAATTAGCACCATCATATAATTATAAACTGAATCGATGTTGGACATGGCCTTATTTTGAACAAGATTAGATATGCCACGTTGAAATATAACAAGACCTCAAAAATAATCGTTTATATTAGAAAACTCTTTGGTTTGGGTTTCCTCGTGATAGTTTACTTTATTTGTAAACCAAACCTAACAATTCATTAATAAAACCAAGAATAAATAAGCATAATTCACTTTTAAATAATACTACGCTGAGTGTTGTGGGTTCGATTCCCACATGGGACGACACTTTGTGTGATCCACAAACTGTTGTGCTGAGTCCTTTGTGTCCGTTTTATGTATGTTTGTAAAGTCCCCGCGACGCAGGATACATTCAGGAAATAGGATTACCGACATTAATGATGCTACATCAAATTTAATAAACTATATTGTGTCTTCATCGCATCATTTTCAACGGGACCAAACGGAAAGTTTAACTTCCCAAATAAAAAAAGAACTGTTCCAATCTGCTAGTAACTGACGAATGACATGAAAAAATACTAACGATTTGAAAACCTTTGCTTTTTTAATGTCGGTTACAAGAATGCGTGACCAAGGTACTAAAACTATCAACTTCAGTTTCCCACAGAGTTCCTATTACTATGTAAGCAATATATTAAAATAACTACATTACTATATAAGGTATTTACTAGTCAACTTTACAAACTTTTTGTGTTTATAAGTAGAATAATGTCAATAAAATAAATAATTAACAAAGGTTATACAATACACTTCTGAAAACATTATAATAAAGTGAACCTTTAATAAGAACAGGAATAGAAAAAGCCTAGATCGCAATGAAATCGCTTTTAAATCCTTTTCTGACGTATATAAATACATTTGACCTTTGAAGCTAGTTACACAGAATCAATTGCATTCTCTCAATTATGTAACAAAGCCATAAAACGAACAAAGTAAACACATGGGAATTCATTCATTACTACATTTGGTTGTTTCATTTTGACATTGTCCGAGTTAAAACAGAAAGGAAGGTAAATACTACTAGAAATATGTTTTATAACATTATTATTGATGTAGTGTATTGGTTTTATACTGTATTGTTGTATTATATTTGTACCAGAACCTCCACGCTTTCCCTAATCGTGGCCGGGGAAATCAAAGGTATTCGGTACAAGTGCTTTGCCATCCTGTAAGGGCCCTGCCATTCATCCCGGGGGTGTCGTAAGAGCCGACTAAGGGAACAAACTACGCAGGGCAACAGCACTGCAAAGAGGGGGGCCAGCGTGGCCCGTAGGCTAAAACCTCTTTTCTAAGTGAAGGCCTACGTCCTGCAGTGGAGTATTAAATGCTGTTGATGTAACGTGATGCCTTGTTGTCAGTTACAGCTGTCTATGATTGGTGGTAGTGATTTATCATTATGTGACTTGTTTGCTCCTTTAGTTTCATTTCTATGTATCTTAAACAGTTGTAATTCTTTTTGCGTTTTTAAGTAGCTACTAATTGTTTAAAGATCACTTAAATAATAGTAGATATAATAATAAATAATAAGGAAATAAAACCTGTTATTATCCATTATAAATTCTGAAAAATCTGAAACCATTCAATATTTTCATTATTCATATATTCGTATCTAAATTCTGATTCAATATTTTACAACCATAAATGACCATGGTAGTATTTACTTTGATGTATTTAGTGATCCTCTTAAATTACAAGTTGAAATAATAATAATGACCTGACCGTTCTCACACACGACCGTTTGATCCCAAACTAGGCAGAACTTGTGCTATGGTAATCAGACTGCTGATAAAAATACATATGAAGCATTCTTTGTGAACGAATGACTTCCCCTTCTCCAAAATCTGTTTGATTTATGTGATGTAATGGTTTGATAATGTATCTGATAGGGGTATACAAAGGCATAGGTACATTATATTGAAGATTTATGTCTTTGTAGACCCCCATCAGATACATGCAGTGAGTTTGCTAATTATTATTGTTTTGTGAAAAAAAGATGAATGGCACGTGGTTTAGGCAGCCATATTGGATCTGAAATGTGGATTCGCTACATATGTCACTCGGCATTAAAAACTAGAGGTCCAGACCTTTTGTTTGACTACTAACAGAACTCTTATAAATCAAACCAATTTCAGAGAAGGGGCGTCCTTCGTTCACAAAGAATGCCTTTAATTTATTTTTATCAGCAGTCTGATTACCATAGCACAAGTTCTGCATGTATATATGTATAATCAAATATAATACTATTTTAGATCTAAATCTACATATAACAATATTGTAAATATATTACACTAAGACAAAACAAAATCGTGATCATCACACAGTGTAACCGCTTTACGTGTCAGGCGGACTACTCACCGGCTTACCCAGCGGAGAAAAACATGAGATTACCTCATTGCGCCTTGTCGAAAACAGAAGGGTGTGCGTGTGGGCAACCTAAGGGACTCCTCAGAGAAAGACAACTTACACCTCAGTCATACATACGTGTATATTTCAACTAAATACAGAGTTACAATTCAAAAAAAACATAAAATAGTGGGTATATAAAAAAATCCCGCAGCGGCGCGCGTCAAGGCCGAGCTGATGCTGCTCGGAGCCTCCTCGTCAGCAATCCAGCAGACCACTTCCACACCAGCCCGAGTCGGCTATTTATATTAAGTATAATGGAAGGTTCAATATTTATATTAATTACATTAACAAGAATTACGTAACCCTTGAATGAGGCTGACCGCTTGCTTGGTGAGCCGCGTGACTGCCAGTTTACCAGAGGGTACTGAGAAGCTCGATTACGCACCAGAAGGCCACAAACGAAAGAGCACGCCATCTGAGATTGTTTGTCTTGACCCGAAATCTGGAGCCCTACGAATGGATTAGCACTCATATAATCGTTCAGGTTCCAGAAACAAATGACTACTAGAAAATTAAGATTAACTTACCACTGACGTGGGTACTTAGGACAAAGTATTTACTAAAGTGAATTACCAGACAAACAAAATACTACTTAAGATAGGAAGACTAGAATCACCAGAGTGTCCCCTGCGGCTGAAAGCCGGACTTATATAATGATAAAGAATCCCTTCTTTATCATTTTAAATTGTCATTCAAATTATCATCGAGGTTAACACGACTCAATTCAACAGTAACCCGCTTCCTACCATAACAGGACACTTTTAACACCAATACAATTTGTCAGGATAAATTATTGCTACGACTTACCAAAAAAACAACGCCATCTAGTGGTCCGATGGCGGACGAAGAGACATCAATACTACTGCGACGCGGGGCAACAGGTGTCACAAGCTTGAACAGAGATATTATGTTCAACCAATTCGTTTTTCACTTAAACTAAACTCTATGAATGATGAATCAAAAGTATACCCTAGAAAGGAAGTCCCTGGTGCCCCGACATACCTCGGGCCATCTACAGACGAGTAGACGACCCCCCCCCCCCCCCCCGAAAGAACGTACCCCTACCTCAAAGTTCTAGGCGTTAATGGGTGGCGTTATTCACTTTCCGTCAGGGGACACGTCTAATCGTTTGCCCTCTTGTCATAAAAAAAAACTACAGAGAATCCAAGAATTAATTACATTTTATATTAAATGAGATAAAGGTTTCAAAAACTATTGTTTAATTTTAGGACCTTACTTAATTACTTACCTTAATTTAAGCTCCAACTTTGATTCGTTATAATTAGTGTGACACAGATGTTACGCAAGTTAATCAAAATCATCCTCCGAGCCTTTTCCCAAACTAGGTTGGGGTGGCCTTCAATCTACTACGACACAGCTGAACTTCGTTTTTTCACGTAGAGCGACTGCTATTAGATCTCCACAACCCAAATACTAGGAAATATATAAAGGTCTGTAGATATATTGTTATCGGACTTTTAGGCTTCCAACTACCCGTAACGATTACCACAGATGTTCATATGGCAATCGGGATTAAGAGATTTCTACGTGTATAGTCACTCATCACGATATCTCTGGAACCATTAGAGCTAAAGACTTGAAATTTGGTAGGAATATTCTTTTCACCGAGTAGAGGTCAGCTAAGAACGGATTTTAAGAAATTAAAAAATAATAATTAAATAATGTAAATAGCAAAACAACGTTTGCAGGGTCAGCTAGTTTCCTATAAAACATTCTAAGCACTGATTGAGACTGAATTCCGGATAATGTAAAAATTTCAATAAGATATTTTCAGTCTTGTTTGCGAATTGAATACAAAGTGGGAACATACGAAAATGTTTAAATAATAACAAAAATTATAATATAAGTTTTTAGTCACATTTTGAACGTTATAAGATAGTGATTAGTAAGATATAGATGTAGTTGTAGTTGATTTATAATACTAATCACCAATTATAGTTTCACCAATGTTTTAAAAAGACTTCAACTATCCCTGGTAATAGCTGACAATCTTGTACACATAATTTCCATACATCTGCCGAGGGACCTTATGAAAGAAAGTTTTTTGACTCTTTTATGTAATGATAAATGAATTCATCTTATTTTATATCGATTTATTTCTCATAGGTAGACAAACGCAAGAATTAAAGTCCGCATAAACTAAAATCTTAAAAGTGTATTACGGCCACACTGAACGCTTACAGGGAAGTCTTTACAGGAATAAATACAGTAGCTGCTGTGGTAATAGCGTACTTTAAAACTTGCTAAATTTACTTATTATATTTAGCTACAGTTCAACTGTAGAACACTTTAAATGCCATTCAACATTGTTTGAATACAGTATACTGATGATGTCACGTACATTCACGTTCCTGAAACGGAAAATGGGTACGATAACAATATAACACCGTGACATAACATTTTCTGAAAATATTAGACAGCATTTTATGAATGAGTTTACCCCATGGGCTTATACGCATGATTGGTTGTTTCGTTCCCCTTTCTAAGAAGACAAGAGTTCGACGGTATTTTGTGTTTATCCTCCTTTAGAAATATTATCTTTTTAAATTTATAGTTTAATAAATTAATTTATTTGTATAGATATTCTAATTCCTTGGCGTATGTCTGTAAGATTGAGTTTCTCTTATAACAATTAAACTTTAAAAAATTAAAACTAGCTTTCATACGGTTTCAGGCAATTTCGCTCTTTAAGTAAATAGTTTGATACTTTTGTTAGAAATGTTTTTTTAGAACCACACAGAAGCATTAGTAGCGATATAGTCAGAATTTGTGAAGATCTCTCGTAACACACACACAAATTAATTTTAATTTTTTCAATTTATTAACGTTAAATTACCAAATTCGTTGTATTTTACGAATTTGGTAATTGATTAAATATAGACAAAAAAAACAAAACCTGACAGCGTGAAAATGTATAATTAAACTTCACAAGCCGGCCATTTCAATTTTCATACAGCCATATATCTTCTCTCGTAGATAAGACGAATCTAAGGTCACGAAATGAGTCTAAGAAATATACGCACATACATTCTGAAAACATCTGGCGCAGTCGGGTAAAAAACCTTTGGGGGGTTTTACTTTTTCCTTTTCATATCACTTTTTTCCACTTTTACAGTCTTTAGCACTATATTAGTAGGGCCGGTCTTATATAGAAGAATCCACTCACATAAATATCCAATTTAAATGAATGGCATAACAATAGATTTTTATTTCTCCATCTTTGATCCTAAATAGTGTTGACGATGAGTGTAACAAAAAAAACACCTTGATTCAAAAACCTTACGCACTCAACCTTACATTTTTATGGAGATTGTCTGACATGGGTTACCAGTATAATCCACAAGCTTTCCGAAATCTCATTTGAAATTTTTTGTTACAATATTTTCGTGATAGTCTACTGACACTTGGGAAATTTTCTACATATAAGTGGAATATTTCCCTTGATAGTCGTAGAGTTAAAATAAGACGGCACACTAAACTCGATAAAATGACAAAACCCATCCAGGTACAGAACTTGCCGCTCCGTAACTAAACCGGTTTCGGTTAACTAAAACGTGTTGACCATAAAATATAATCAACTACTGATATAAAATAATTTATATTTAATGTTAGGCTTGAATATAAAAAGGTAGGATAGGTAACTTGTAACAAGTACTTTTCTAGTAGTTATTTTAAGTATGGGAAACTATTTAAATTATTTTACACATGGGAGAATGAAAGAAAACGTGAATTAACAGTATGGTTAAATATCATGAGTTACATTATTAGAATTAAAATAATTCTCCATACTTCCATACTTATATCTCAAAATGAGTTTGTTTGTTTCTTAGCTTGCACTCCCAAACCAATAAACCAATTTTAAAAATCCTTTCATCAATAGAAAGCTACATCATCGGCAAGTAACTTAGGCAACATTTTAGCGCAATAACTGACATACACACTTGAAAATGAGTTTGTTTGTTTGTTACCACGCCTCAATCACTAAAACAATTTTTAAAATTATTTCACCAATCGAAAACTACATTATCAGTGAGTAACATGGGTTAACCGCAATAAGGTAGTAATATATAATTCTGTTGTAGATTTCGGTTACAGTACTTCAATTTGTTAAAGATCTGAAATTTTTCTCAATGGTACCGGGACCCCGATTAGTTTCGAATCCGACAGGGGTTCTTTTTCACGCAGGTGTCCTGATGCGACCGTTAGTGACTAAAACGTGTCGTGAACAAAACCGTGTCTTTACCACTCACGAAGGTTTTCATTTTACTAATTTATTGATGTGGCGTGATGCTCCTAAAAATCGTTTAAAAAAAAAAAATTTGAAACGGTACATACATCTAGGTGTAATCATTTACTGTAAGCCCCAGCTTGCTCCTACGGGTCATTGTCTAATAATGTTTTGTTTTTTATGAGAAACCTCTACACTATATTCAACACATAATAGGCTTTTCGTGTTAACGATGATCTTATCTTCTGTGAACCGTACTTATAAGGGTTAAATGAGACCCTGAAGTCGTTAGCTCAGGCTGTGATTAGTATAAGGGGAGCTGTAGACCATAATAATTAGACAGAAGGTAGTAAATCATGTGTGTTAATGACGGTCTGATGATTTTTCGGAATGATCTGATTAACTCACATTTTTTTTAAATGCAGAAAAGTGGATGGCTGTACGTTATAACCTCTGTACGATTCTACAAAATTTGGATGTGTGTTGCCAACTATTTAAATACCTATAGATCCTTATTCTTATAAACCCCCGTAAAGTAGTCACTACAAGAATCTTATAATACCAGCGTTTGGAGAGAAAAAAATCTGCAACCTTACTGTACAGGTCCTTGTGTGTTAGACTTAAATAATATTGATTGCACATTTGAGTTCGACGATTCTTACAGCAAGGCTTTGAAGTCTAACGTTGCTTCTGAAGCTCCCGCTCATTCTGAGTCGCACGTCTATATAAATCTGGCTTTAAAGTATATTACGAATTGAGTGATATGCAAAACCAATCTAATATATAAAATTCTCGTGTCACGGTGTGCGTGGTTGAACTCCTCCGAAACGGCTCGACCGATTTTCGTGCAATTTTGTGTGCATATCGGATAGGTCTGAAAATCCAAAAAACATCTAGTTTTTTGAAATAATGTATATGGCAAAACAACGTTTGCCGGGTCAGCTAGTCATTAATATTAAAGTTATCTGTGCTGAAAAGACATACAATTATAGGCCTAAGAATACATTTATAGGCCCTTCTTAAGTTTCTTGTATAAACGTTAAAAATATTTTCTTGTTTTAATAGCGATCTTTCATAATGAAAAGTCTTGACTTTAACAAAAAAGAGGTCCTAAAATATATTTACAAGACTTTATATTTAAAATGATTTTAATTAAATACAAGTTTCGAGTTTATACAGGACAATTTAGGTCACTTCCGTTTCTTTACAATTGTTTTCAGACTTTTTGAATCGAAACACAGATTATGAAAGAAATATCGTTGAAGGTAATTTATCTCGGTATAAAATAGTCTGTCAGATGTTAAAAATCTAGACTTCATGAGTAGTATATGAGAGTAATATATAAATATGTTTTACATACTAGTGATAAACATATTTTAACCGTAATACAGGCTTAGCCAATTATGGGATCAGATGACCATTTATGACTCAAGTTTATTTACTTACTTACGAGTATTCATTGTTGGCAGGTACGAACCAGATCACAATCAAGGCGGTGTCTGCCGCTACAACCAAAACCCTGGCTACGTGGTATTTTCTGCCATGGGTTCCTTCTTCCTCCCTATGGCTGTGATGGTGTACGTCTATGCCAGGATATCCTGTGTGGTGGCAAGGAGACATCACCAATTAGCCAGCAGCACTAAGTGTAATAAGGTATGTATTATTCATATATTTAAATTGTTTAATACTATTAAGTTGATATTTGTCAATTTGACTTTTACACACCATCGTCTAGATGGTAAGCGGTTGACAACGTGTTTGAATATTTTTATGGCGTTGGCATTACTGGCGACTTTCCTACTAACTCAAGCATACTTAATGTCAAAATATAAGCCGTATAAGTGTTTGCCTAACTGTGTTATACGTGTATTATGGGTTATCTCGTCTTTTCACAGTGGCGCTAATTCTGTTGTTTGAAAACTCTCTAAACTAAACTAAAAATCACTAAACATTTGTTTAGTTCTGTCAAACAACGTTTTCTATTCTGAAAACGTAATATTTGACAGAACAAAAAAATTTTTTAGTGATTCTTAGTTTAGTTTAGAGAGTTTCCGAACAACAGAATTAGCACCACTTTCTCGTTTTTTCGAAATCCCAAAATAAATAAATCTCCTATGTCATATATTCAGACTACAAACATTGTATTATCAATATACAAAAGATCACCTTGTTTCTATCTTGTGATTAATTTTGTCGAGAAACTTTACATACAGCAGGTTATCATTAAATTATTTGCATCGCACATAGGAAATCATATCCATATTATGTCAATAAGTTTATTAGAGATAGAACATCCGATGGGCGCCGTTTAGATGGGGTGACCTGTTTTGGGTCGCTCTCAGACGCCTGACACCGACATGATAGCACGCATTACATATTACTCACACGTTACAATAGTGATCAATCACCAATCAATCATCAAATAATCCACTGCTGGACATAGGCCTCTCTTTAGAAAGAAGGTTTGGAATGGCCAACGGTGGCCAGATGGGTTGGTAATGGGTTTGATTCAAGTTTTTCAAGAGTGATATAAATACCACTAACAGAAGTTTTTATTCTAATATATCTCTTATTTAATATCGAAATATTTTTAAAAGTTTTTAAATAATTTGTTAAATTATTTATTGGAAACTTCCTAACCTTTCCATGAGGCTGAAATAAAGGCGTAAAAGGATATCACTGCTAAAAATACTAAGTAGAACAAAGTGGGTGGTACTATAATTATATCAGTGAAAGCAACTTCGCAGCTCGTAGAAATATTCTGAAAAAGGAATTTGAACGCGTAAATAGCTAAAAATAAATCCACTTTGTATTGAGTGAGGAAGCTTTTAAGAAAAAAAGTACGTATCGAGTAAAGCAAATTATTTTACGGGTACCGTCATTGTATTAGCATTCCGAATACTTGTCTATTCCTGTTACATAAATTCGGTCGTTCATTGTACTTGAAGCTTGTTTAAGCCGTTCAATCGAAGCCTTCCGAGCAATATTTATTGAAATTACCGACCACGATCAAAATATATTTTATATTACTTTTCTTCAATGACATTGAGTTTCATTGCAATTATAATTTTCTTTTATTTATTGGTTTATGATCAGACAACGAAATTTGTAGTCGTGATTATTACAGTTTGTTTTGTTTCTGTTTATTGACCGACTTAAAAAAGCTCTCAATTCGATTGTTTTTCTTTTGTGTATTTTATGTGATATCTTGGCCCTTTCTAAGACGATTTCAATATTAATCTTTTTATTGAAATGATTGTTCTTTCTACTTCTAAGTATATAAAAATTAAGTGATGTTTATTTGGAGTTAGAGGCTAATAGTTTTTTCGTCTAAGCCATTTATACTTATCATACATAGAAACACCCAGAGCAAATCAAACGTTAAATTGTTCATGCACACAAATGTTTCACTTGAGCGTGAATCGAACCCGCAACCTTTGGAATAGCAGTTCGTTACACAACTGTTCCACTATTCCATTCGGTCATCGATATACACTAAGTACCCGATTTCGACAACTTCATTTGGAAACCAAGAACATTTATTAACACAGCAGCCGTTAGGTCAAAATCGTCGAAGGTCATAGGAAGTGAATGTTGTAGAAGTGTAGTTGTAACAGTTGTGCCCATTTTTTATTAAAATCAATATGGACCCTTTTAGGCACCAATTAGTTTTAAGAGTTAATAGTAGTTAGAATTAGAAATTTGTTGTACAAAAGAAAGGTCATCGCGATATGAGATATCAGATGTAGCAAATCAAGAACCACTAACTAGAAAAATATACAACTTAAGTAATGTGTTTCTACAACTATTATTTGCTGTTATTATTGGCCTTGTATTAAGTTTCGTTACATGAGGAACGAGGGAAAAAGCTTACGCTATATTCTTGATGCTTTGTATATTACATAGAGATAATAAAATTATATATGGACATAACAAAGCTTCGAATCTACCGATATGAAATCTTCATGTGGACTCGATGGTTTTCAATGTTTTCATTTAGTCTGTTATCGAAGACATACCCCCTTATTCTGGAAGGACTGGAGGAAATCAATGGGTGATCCGTCTGGCGTTTGCACCCTATTCCATAAAAACACACATCATCATCATCATCAACAGCCTTTAACAGTCCACTGCTGGACATAAGCCTCTCCTTAGAAAAAAGTTAGAAAAAAAAACACACACACTGGTACATAAATTATTACATGACCTGTCACCTTGCGGGAACACGACTGCTGCGCGACCTGATAAACTACTGTGTCAGCGTTGTCATATATCCCTACATAGCCATCCTTAACAATGTCAGTCAAAAACGTTAACTTCTTGACACCTTTATCTCTTTGAAAGCTTTGAACTTCAGTCATGTTTCGCTTGGTAAGGAGTCGTAATGCGTAACGTTAAGAAAATTTAATAATTAATAAAGTTACAGTTTAATTATTTGGACAAAAACTTTCGTCGTAAAATTTATCCTATATCGCTTACCTTTATTTGGTCTGGGTGTTCTTTGTGTCTGTTTGTAAAGTCCCCCGCACCACAGGATATATTCCTAATGCGGAAGTTCTCTTTTTTTTTAAAGCGAAGCTAATCGTATCCACCAGACTTATTTTCATCCTCCGAGCATGGAGTAAACACAGAGAATTTCTTGACAGAAAACCCAAATGCCTATGGTCGTGTGAAAACGATGATTTGATTGCATAGAGAGCAAAGGAGCTGATGGGTCAACTGATGGTAAGTGACTATCGCTCATGGACACCCTCCCTCTCCCTCCCCTCGAGATAGGTGAGGGGATTTTGGGCTCCAGTAACCTCACTCACTCTGTTAAAAGCAACGGAAAGAAAAGGTTAACATCAGTTTTCTGGGAGGCCGTGGTATAACTCCGGTACAGTCGACCTATTTTTGCCAAAGCATGGTTTCCCCACGATGTGACAGCATCTCGAAAATATGATGATGTAATATCAAATAGGTACCTATAACTCATGGGAAGAACTAAAATGCAGAACTTATTATTAAATAATATAATAAAAATTAATGTCCTTGCAATAATTCTTGATAGAAATACAAAAAGTAATTCTTAAAAATGTATTACCGACTTCACTGTGTCTAAATCGTGAAGTATTGTAATAAGCTGCGTTCTTCATTCATTCATTTTTCAAAATAGGAAGCATACTCTGCCATTTAAAAAACAAGATTAGCCCAATCTGTTCATAAATAATGGAGTTCTAAGGTAAAAAGTATAAAAAACAACCGAATTTAGGACATCTTACTTTTTTAAGTCGATTAAAAACAAAAATTATCTTAATCCTATTTCATACTCTATTTAAAATATTTACACCAACGCAATTATTAACGTTTTTAAAATACTTTTGTTTTCTCTAAGATATTATTGGATTGAGATTGAGCTTTTGAGAAAGAGAATTGATCTGTAATTATTAGTACTTAATTTCGGCGCCCAAATCCAAGCCGTGGGTCGAATCAATTTAGGGAAAGATTAAACGTATTTGGCATCGTCTCGGCTCGTTTACTCAGATTATTAAAAGGTAAAAACCTTATTATATTGAATCGAGTTACTTTTCAGAGAATTCACTATATTAAAAATGATCCATAATATAAATTCAAGAAGCTCTCAGAATTCAGTTATATATTAGACGACGCGACGTTGCAAATGCTGTGAATAAGGAATCCATTAAAAGTAACTGCATACTAAGGTGCGATTGAAATCAATATTGAAGGTGCCTGTGTCGTCATAAACGAAGGAGGGATTTCCTTTATTACATACTTAGAATAACTGATATTTCAAATACCATTCGCCCTCGTGACGCCCTATTGTGGCGCCTTATTCTTAATGTGGGAGTTGTCTTTTTAAATAAATAAAAAATCAAACAAGCATGTGGAATGATATCTGATATCGAGGCGACAGGTCGCTTCAACTCTTGAGAAAGGGCCCCACAAGCACTTAATGCACAACAGTATATTTTTAGTAATAACTTGTAGTACAGTTAAGTTAGAGACTTTATTGGCATAACCTGGTGCCGCCAGTAAGATTTTTGAAGTGAAAAACTTCTGTAGGCGCTTTGGACATTTTTGAACAAAAAAAATAAATATTTTATGGGAAAAAACCATTCAACTCGCGACACTGTTACCGTTACCGACACCTCTGTTGAAGTGAAAACTTCTTTAGGCACTTCTTTGGGCATTGTTTGAGATGGGAAAAACGATAAAGCTCGCGACACCTTTACCCTTACCGTTACCGACACCTCTGTAAATAAGTTTTCACTTCTGTCGGCACTCCCGGAGTGCCCCTTTTTGAAATATCTTCAGTTCATACAATTATTTGAAATCGTCTTTTATGTAGACACTAAAGTCTTAGATCAACAATGAAATCAAGTTACAGTTGGTATAATATGTATGTTACATATGCTTCTGCTAACTCTGCCTTCCCCTTTAGTGAAACAGACGTGAGCACCAAATATAATAACTCTGGTTCTGGTTTCCAATACTTACAATCAGGTGTGTACTGAAATAATACTTTAATATGACTACATATCGTAATGTCCAGGGTCCATTGGTTGTAAAGCTTAGTAAAAGTTTTTAAAAAGTAAATTTTTAGTCTGAAAATTTTCCCAACAGGAATATAAAGATAAACAAAATGCTAGCACAACCCACACATTGTAATATTAATAGGAGTTATCCGCAATATTTTCGTACTAAAAACCTAGCAATCCCTCGCTAAAAATTTTTAACTGGTTTTAACGGCCACTAAATTTGGTTTAGCGCCATTTTATCGAAACTGGGACAAAGGCCTTGTACAGGAGAGAGAGAATAAATCCTTATTATAAGAGTGTTGATTTCATTATTACTTTTTAAAGTCTGTTTACAAAAATAGAACTTGTGTTTTAAAAGGAATACCGTTCCTTTTTATAAAACTTTAATTTTATGTTAAATTTAATGTACCTGTACATGTATACGAGTATAGCTACAAATATTTGATTTACAACATTATTTTTTAGTTATTTTAATTTAGACTTTGATTGGATATAGAGCTTGATAAGGATACAAGCATGCTTATACGGTTATGCTAGCTTGCACTCGAAAATAAACTTTAAGGCTTTTCTTATAAAATGCATACTCATGGCCCGAGGCCGCTTGAAATTTTTTTGTCATGTTTCAAACAAGTATGCACTTTATAGTTATAGTTTTAAAGTTTATAGTTTTAAAGTAACCTCACTGGTTCTCGGGGGGAGACTCAAAGTACGGCATCGCACCTGTGACTCTTGAGTTCTGTGTCCATGGGCGACGGTAGTGACTTCGGGTGACCAGTCTCCTCGTTGGTTATTTATTTTCTATGGCCATAAAATAGATAAATGGCCGATAATTTATTTACGTTCTTTCCTTGTCCCGTATGAAAACGACTACACCAGAGAAAGTTGGCGACCATGTAAAATAACTGGCTAAACCCTTTGCGACGACCCTAAATAAAAAGTCGAGGCCAGTGAGACAAGACCAGGAGATATTGACAAGATAAATAGCCAACATAATATGATTAAATTAATGAAAATACTGACCAACAGAATATAGAATTACATTAACTATCGTTAGAGTAACTGATTCATCGAACAAATATAGGGCCGGTCCCATTTATTTTCGTTTTCAGCCGTTTCCTACTGCGCTGAGTGTTGTGGATTCGGTAGCCGCATGGAAAAACACATTGTGTGAACCACAAGTTGTTGCTGAGTCTGGATGTCCTTTGTGTACATTTGAATGGATGTTTGTAAAGTCCCCTGCGATACAGGGTATATTCCTAATGCGGGCGTTATATTTAAAAAAAATATATGATCAAAATGCCCCATCTTATAGCCATAAACTATACGTAAATTTACTTTTATTTAAAATTCTAGAACAACACTTAGCTAGAAATGATGCTTAATTAACGCCTCGTGAAGGATAAAGGCACTTTAAAAATTCTTTCAATCTGTTAAAACCTTCATAACAAATTAATTTTATTTGTTTCAGAAAGGAAAATTATCCTGCATACGTACGGAATCAGAATCAGGATCAGACAAACTATCACTACGACAGTCTGCTTCAAAGCAAACTTCGAAGTACTCAACCCAACAGAACGATTGCTGTTCTCAAGATCAAAAATGCCCATGCTGTTTCCGACCAGAAAAGAAAAAGAAATTTAGATGTACTAAAGAGAAAGAGTCTCGTTTCTACAACAACGAAGTTACATTCAAAGCTAATTTTAAATATAAAAACACTACCAGACGTACACATTCAACAAAAGAACACGTAGAAAATAATAGAGTATCGTCTTTAAGAAGAGAGACTAAAACTGCCCAAACATTAAGTTTGGTTGTGGGAGGTTTCGTCGCCTGCTGGCTCCCTTTCTTCGTTTACTATCTTCTTACACCTTTCATACCAAGTAATTATGTAAATCCTGTACTTATGTATATACTGACGTGGTTAGGTTGGTTTAATTCGGCAATAAATCCCTTTATATACGCTTTTTACTCTCCAGACTTTAGACTAGCCTTTTGGAGACTCACTATTAAGAAATGTAAGAGAAATAAACGTTAGAACGGGGAAAATATTTCTCGATTCACGGTAGATTTTTCCCTAGTTTAGATTACAGCGCAAACGATGTTCACAAACCGTTGTAAATATAAAAGTAAATATAGAATTTACGGCAGTGACGATGTATTTTACACCGTGCTTATACCAAATAAAGTTGTAAATTGTTTGATTTTATTAAAGGGTAATACCGTTGTATTCTAAGAAATTTCGCTTGAAATGAGAAATGTAGTCACTTTAGTGCCGTGAATATCTTATATTGCTCAGAATTTATCGGATCAAATGATATATTGATGTTGACAAATTCCGCCTTTTACATGTTTTTTTTACTCTTCGGAGCAGTCACTGAATCTTCAGGGTTGCCACCGGTTTTTTTTTTCTTTTCTTTCTACATTCTCAAACAGGCTTGTATTCTGTGTTTTAATGTGTGTTTAAAATGTTTTAATCAATTACTGTAGCTACACATACTTTTTAATTGCTTAATGGGTGTAGTTTAAGCATTCATAAGCTTACAGGACTTTTTGAGTTTGTTTGAGTTTGCAGTACATGGAGAAAATAATTATGAACTGTTTAAGACTATCATCGAAGAATAAAATTATAAGTGGTTCTGAAGATTACTTTGATACAAAAATACGACTAAATGTAAGTAACTTCAATAGTAGTCTTACTACAAACACACGTCACGTTTAAATTGGATACATTTTATTTTAATGTGGACCATCATCATCATCAACAGCCTTTAACAGTCCACTGCTGGACATAGGCCTTTCCTCAAACAATAGGTTTTGGCCTACTATACCACGCTGGCCAGACGGGTTGGTAAAGGGTTTGTGTCAAGTTTTCCTTCTCTGCAGTGCTGTTGGCCTGCGTAGTTTGCTCCCTTAGTCGCCTCTTACGATACTCACGGTATGAATTGGGGTGGAGACACTCTGTATTCTTAATCCGTCACCACACGGACGGACGGAATATTGATATTAATTTTATATTAGCTTGATGTGTATCTATCTATCTATGACAGAATCTTTCATTATAGTTCAAGACATTTGCTTTTTAGTGATGAAACTATTAATTATGTTATTAATTTAATTTAAACTTAAGACATTTAAAATAATAACGAATCATAGACCGTTTTGGTTTGTAAAAATAAAACTTTTGATGTTTAAAATATGTCTACTTTTTCAGTTTTTATGCTCGAATTTTTTTACCACAGTTGTGGTATGGTTTCTATATTCTGATAATTTTCGAAAAAGAATTTTCGTACAAACAAATATTTCATATTATTTCTAGAAATGGTAACCTAAATACTCAAGAGTATCTATTATATGAGACTATTTTTCAAACACAATAGGTATTTATTTAAAAGTACAATGGGTGTTCTTGTATCATAAATAATGCTAGTAAGAGTTTAGTTGGAAACATTTTAGATAAAGTGCCAGTGTCCTTCATCTAAAAATGTAATACAAATTATAACTGGTTATATTTGCTCTTCTATTGAGAATATTTTTTATGTATACACATTCACACACTCACGCTCTTATCCTGCAAATACAAGCGTGTTAGACGCACACATTTTGAATATTTAACTTAACTCATTACAATGTTGGTATTTATTATGATTATTATGATTATTTATTAATGAATTTAACAGTGATTTTTATTAAATTTGCTTTAATTTAATTTGATTACATTATTTATAATTTGTATAGTAATAATTTATGGTTCCTAATGTTATTTTTGACTTTTAATGCTTGTTGTGTTCTTCTGTATTTAAGGATACATCAGATCAATAATTGTTATTTATTGTGAATGTTATGTGATATTGTTATTGAAGATGCATGTAAATTAATAACAAAATAATTGAATTATTTTTGTGTTCAAATAGTTACCATTATGATGAAGAAAATATGGAAGATGTAAGTATGCTTAATTATTCCACAAACATACCACGTTATGTATAAGGTACGTTTCCTTAGCAAACTAAGTAAATTAAATAGTTCACAAACAAAAGCGGCCGAAATGAGACGTTTCTTGAACCTATTTTAACCTTAATTTTATAACATATTGTGGTACGATCATATAATGTAGAACATAACATTTCAAGTTCTAAGTTTACAAAAAAATACGAACCGAGGAATAAAAACAGCGAAAACACCACAGAATCCCTTTTAAATGATTCACGATCAACAAATTCAATAGAAAATAAAGACGATATTCGAGATTAGTTACTATTTAAGCAATTTTTATGATTCCTATATAATAATAAGGGTTAAAGTATGAAATTGCCGATTTGTACTCAAACATTGAAACTCGTTTTTTTCTAAGATGTAACATATTTATTTAATCAAATATTTACCCTCATTATCTGTACATTGCTGCCATCTCAACGGAAGTTCATTTTTACCTTTACGATAGAACTCTGGGAATCTAGATTCGGCAAACTGTGTGAAAGCATTTTGTACTGCCTCCCGTGGATGGCATTTTTAATCATGTAGAAAATTGTCTAAAAAATGTAAAATACCCGATACTTATAATAATTTCATTGAATAAAACTGAAAATGCCGAATTCGTAAAAATAAATCCTTTAAAAAAAGGTGAAACTACCTGAAACAATACTAACAAATAGTAAAAAAAAAACTAAAATAAGTACCCTCAATATAACAGGTAACATTATAATAGCAGTCGTCCTTTCTAGTCTGTTTGAAGTCGGTCATCATCATCAACAGCCTCTAACAGTCCACTGCTGAACATAGGCCTCTCCTTAAAAGGAAGTTTAGGGCTACTTTAATACGCTGGTCAGACGGGTTGGTAAAGGGTTTGTGTCAAGTCTTCCTTCTCTTTGCAGTTTTGTTGTCCTGCATAGTTTGCTCCCTTAGTCGGCTCTTACGACACCCACGGGATGAATGGTGGTGGTGACAATCCGTATTCTTAATCCGTCACCACACGGACAGACAGCATGGAAGTCCCTGCCAAGCCAAATAGGTGCTGGACAGGCTTGGTAGAAGAACCTTTCCATTATCAGCTCAGCAACATACTAAACACATTTACCTATAAAGCTAGAGAAATAACCTAAAACAAGTTGTCAGGATTTGAGGTATTGTCTCGATTTCTGGATCCCATTATCAGATCCTAATTTGGTGATAATGGGACCACCTCGGGAACATACCCTTTCGATTACTAAAATAATTTTAAAAATCGGTCCACAATTGACGGAGATATCGCGTAACAAACATACAAAAAAATATATACAGACGAATTGATAACCTCCTCTTTTGAGTTTTTGAAGTTTGTTAAGAAATACATAAAACCAGACTTTTCAACATAATATTTTTCAAGTCAGTCTACGCATCGTGTGCAAAACAAATTGCTTTTATTAAGTTGACCCTCTTAAAACTGCTATTAACGCCAGGAGGTCCTTAATTAGCTTTTCGAACAATACTTAGAATGCTTTACACCAAGAAAATAATTTTGTAATGCAGTCTCCACAAAAACAGAGGACCTAACTTGCTCATTGAGTTTATGGAAGCCGTTTTGATTGCAAAAGAATGTTAATTAATGTAAAACTTACAGATTTTAGTTACCTAATCTTTGCTAGATTTAAATGATAAAATGAGGCGAGGATTTCATATTTGGTATAAACAGAGTAGAAACTCATAAGATGCAATGTATATTAATGCAGTTCCACGATGTTACCCGACTTATATAAATCTTGCTTCGTTTAGAAGGCCATGGCTGACAAATAATTCAACAAATAGTTACGAGAGAACAGTTAGAGTGACATTAGAAAAGGTAGGTAGTCTGTCAGGTTTTGTGAGGTTTAAGGCGTTTCCTCAACTCGACCTGCTGCATTCGATCATTAACTTGTTTCTTGCAAAAGCCGCTATAATGTTTAGTTTTCTCCATAAAAGCAATGTCAGATAAAAGTGATATAAATTCATTAGTTTCATTTGTCACGGTTAGAAAGGAATTACATGATTGAGACTAGAAAGTTGAAACTATCAGCTTTCTAATACGGGTTAGTAAATATAATCTTCCTCGGTTAATAATGAGAGTTTACTAACAAAATCTACTTACCAACGGAAAAAAAAACGCTAAGCTTCGCATAGTAATTTTTTTATTTTTTATTTATTCTTTCAAAGTGTAAACATATTAATGAGATTTTTTTTAATATACATAGCATTTCCTAAGCCACTAAGGTTTATAACGAATGCTAAGGGTTAGTCTCGATCGGTACAAAGATTTCAAAAAAAGTTGTAACAAAAGAATAATTATAGGAAAGTTCTGAATACAGTATAAAACAATATTTCATAAATAAAAAGCGAACAGATTAAACAATAAATAAAATTGATATGATTAATTTTGATTAAATAGTAATGGCCGTACTTTAGATTTAAAGTTCACCGGCGTTAGAATATCTCTTAATTCGGAGGGTAGTTTGTTAATAAATCTTGGAACTAAGTATTTGGTTGTTCTTTCACCGTATATATTATTTGTTGTCGCTCGACTGGTTTCGCATACAAGATTCCGAGCAGTCTATGATGAGAATCTTGTAAACAATACCTGTCGTACCTAGAAAATTAATCTTATTTTTTTCCAAATTTAAAAATATTTTATTAAACCAATTAGGTGGGGACCTAATTCTAGAAAGGGACTCAAGGTACGACAACACACTTGTAACTTAATTGCAAATGTCTATGTCTCTTTGTTTGCCCACTATGCCAGAAAATTTGCTTGTTCAAACCACAAAATCATATTAAATTTCAAGTCATTCTAGCCACAGTATTATGTTTAGGTCAGGGAGTCATTACTACTAACAATTTCCAAGAATCGTGAGTGCTTTCTTTTTTTTGTGACTACTTTAATGACTCCACTCGTCATCCTGACGATTAGTAAAAGAAAAAAGAAATTTAGATTTGTAATTTTCTCTTTTAATTTTTTGTGACGTTGATGGTAATAACGCCGAATGTCTGTTCTCTGTCAAATGTAATGAATAAATTCATGCGATTCTA